CTACTTAGTGATTTCTTCCAAGCTTCATGTCACCCACAGTTTGACAAGCATACTATACTTGTCTTCACCCAAGACATGGATAAAAATGATGAAAAGAAACAAACCAGAGAAGCAGAGTTCCTGCAGACCCACTTCTTGACCACCACTGATCCTTCATCAATGGTCTTTGTCCAACGAGCTACAAATTGCCCTGATCCTTCCAGCTGGAGGAGATGACCCCCCCTTCCCAATCTCTCATGCTTCTGTGCTTGGCCTCAACTCTCTCACGTTCTCATTCTTTTAGAAACATTTTAATGTTTTAAAACATGCCTCATTCTGATTTATATTATGGTTTTTTGGTCACATTCCATTATTGGCATATTAGTCCATCGGGATGAGGACAATATAATTTTTCCTCTTTGTTTCTACAGCTCCTAACACAGTGCCTTGCAGAATCACAGAATCTCAGAGCTGAAAGGGGTATGGGGCACCATCTGTACCCAGGCAAGAATCATGGCTGATAATATCCCCAAGAGGTCATTCAGCACAGACTTGAAAAGCTACAGGAACCCAGAACCTACTATTTCCTGAGGTAGCTTTCTGTACTTTAGGAAAACTCTAATCTTAGAAGTTTTACCTCACATTGAACAGAAAACTGTTTGCAATTTTTAAGTAGTTGCTCTTATTTTAGCTTCCTAGGGCCAGACAAGTGTAGTTGCCCTTCCGCAGGGAAAGCCCTTCAGGTACTTGAAGACAGTTACCATGTTCCTTAAGTTCCCTTTTTCTACAATCTAAACACACTCAGTACTTTTAAGTCCTTCCTTCCTTGCTCCCTCTCTCCTTTTCTTCTTTCCTTCTTTCCCTCCCTCTCTTCCTTCCTTCCCTTTTCTTTCTTCCTTTCTCCCTCTTTTCCTCCTTCCTTCCCTCCCTTTCTTCCTTCCTTTCTTCCCTTCTTCTGTTCCTTCCCCCCTCAGATACTTACTGTTTGTGTGACCCTAGGCAAGTTACTCAACCTCTCTCAGCCTCAGTTTTCTCATCTGTAAAATGGGGGTTGACAGGGGCGTCCTGGACCCTGGCTTCCTAGGAAGGGCGTGGAAGACCCCGACCGCCTCAGATGACGGTTACGAGGAGGCTCCGCCTCTAGGGTAGAACAGGGGAGGGGCGCAGAGTCTTACGAGGCTCGGGAGGGGGGTCCTTGAAGTGTATATAACGGGCTGAGAACAAAGGATCGGGGGGATCCTCCACAATAAAGAGCATATGCCACACTCGCGTCCTGTCTGGTCCTTGAGCCCACCTTTCCCCCAGGGTGGGTCCGGAGACGTCCGAAGCCCAGCTCCCAGGGAAGGAGACGTACCTGAAGGGCCCGGCCCGGGTCAGGGGGTCATAATAGCAATTATTTCATCCTACAATAGCTGTGTCCTTCTCAAACATGTTTTGGGAGTGCAGATGCTAGGGGTCTCTGAAGAGTAGTCCTCTTTGTCCCAATGAGTATAGGTCAAGTGCACATAAAGGTATGCACCCAATGGTGCCAAGAAATGGGAAATCCAGTGCCACTGAGAGATGTAAGTGAATTCACTAAAGTAACTGAAACAGTTTAATAATAATAATAGCTAATGTTTACATAGTACTTCATGGGTACTTTGCCTGAGATCATTGAACATTTTTTTAATCTTTTGATAATTACTTCAATATATTTGGTTTCTCTTGTAATCCTATTTATCTCTCTATCTCTCTCTCTATCCGTCTGCCTATCTATCTATCTATCTATCTATCTATCTATCTATCTATCTATCTATCTATCTATCTATGATTTTGTGCATTTGAGAACAGTATTCTGTGAAGCCATCTTTAGGCTTTATTAGACTGCCAAAGAGGTCCAAGATACCAAAAAAAAAATCAAGAACCCCTCATATGATGCTTTAAGATTTGTAAAACACTATATGTCTGCATGTATATGTGTATATGTGTATGTGTATATATATGTATATGTAAATTTTCATTTGATCTTATAAATCTTATGAAATAATTGCTGTAGACAGATAATGAATAACTTCCAATTTTGCTCACAAAATGCTCTTTGGCACTGTCTTAGCTGACCTATTCCTTCTCATCAGAGACAAAACACAACTTCATTTTAAAGGTCCAAATCATGTACATAGTGAATTTAAACCTCGAATCATTGGCCCCAGGGTAAGTAAGGAAGACCCTAGTTGTAATCACATGTTTTAATCAATACTATTAATTAGTGTGGATCTGAAATATTTCTCCTGGTCAATGACCTGAATTTTTTATTCCTTATAAAAGAGCACATACCACAAATTTGCTTTTTGATTGAAAATGGCAGAACTGTGAAGCCATCACTAGGTGATTATTTTGTTGGTAACACACAAGGTCACTGCTTTGGCTGAGTTTATGAAAAGCAGTCAAGTTTCCTGTTCAGTGGTCAATTTATTAGTCAGTCTTGGCCGGATTAAGATTCTGACACAGAGGCTGGGCTAATGGATTCTTTTGTGACAGGTAGAAAAGAAAATGTGATTTAGGGTGGTGTTTCTGCAAGCTGCAATTTAAGGGGAAAACTAAAACACAAGGGCTTTTATATTGCCATTTTCTTCAAAAAGATTTACATTTTCATCTTATTCAGAGACAATTTGCTCACTGTCAATCAGCATCAACAACCAAACTGAGCATCACAACGGTATTTTTGCTTAGGGAAAAGGGAAGACAAGTAGTGCCAGTCAAATAAATTACAGCAGAAACTTACTAATGACAGGGAGCTCTGTTAGATATTCCGAGTTTTACAAACATGCAAATATGCCTCCTTCTCTTCCCTGCCTCATTCCCCCTCCCCCACTGGCCTCCTGACATAGAAGCCAAGGAATTTTACTTCCCAGAATACAGTTCATTTATTTTGACAAGTGTAGTTCTTCATAACAATGCTCCAAAGTGTATTAGAATTGGTGCTTTAGTTTTCATTCAGAGTAAAAATACTTTTATTCTGAATAAAAAATGAAAGTACCATTTTAAATATATCATTCTTTGTAGTTAAATAATATTGATGCTTTATTCCCCCCCATTTCCTCAGTATAGTTCCTCTCTTCAGTATAAAATAAGCAAAAGTAACATGTATAGATTTGCCAAAATAGTTATTAAATAAATGAACTAACCCCTAAATATCTGTTAAAATGGCAGCCTACCCACCAATCCTTTGGTAAGGACCAGTGGTTAGTGAGTAGATTAAGACATAAAGAGATATAAAGGATTGATATTCATGAAAAAAAGGCTCATTTTGTTCAGTGATGTGCTGTACTCCTTAATTAGTGTGGTTAAAAAGTCACCAATTTCCAGTCTTCTTAGACTAATGACAATATATAGCAGTCTAAATCATCTTTCCCCAAACTACTAAATCCTGAATCTAGAAAGAAGTCATAGACCATGTAAGTCTAATTCCTTTACAAAATAACTGGGTTGAAATTCTTTAATTGTACATTCAGCTGACTTAATGGTCTTTGATCTTTCCCTCTTTTACTCTTCCTTTTTCTTGAGATGCTGAGGGGGCCTTTCCACATTTTAATAAGGCCTTAAAAGACTGAGGAAGTCAGTCTAGGAGTGTAGATTAGAACCAGAGAATGTTTTAAAATTGTGCCAACCCACCAGGGTTTCTGAACATCAAGGACCAATTTAGTACACGGTGGATTTTGATGAAATGGAGTTCCTGACCTTAGAACATGGGCAGGCATTGGGGTGTAGAGTCCTAGCATTGCTTTGGTCTAGCAGTAATTATCCCAACTACTTTGGTCCAGTCACCAAATCCTGCTGATTCTTTCTTCCATTCTCACTGACGTTACCCTAGTTCAGATCCCCATTGCTCGTCTGGGTCACAGTGATATTTTTCCCTAACTGCTCATCCCAACTTCTGTCTACCTTGTCATACCACTAGCATGTTATTCTTTCTAAAATCCACCCTTCTAGTCTTGTTATTTCTCCAGTCAAAACCCTTCAGTGGCTGATCTTTCATTTTCGTATCAAGTCCAAATCCTTGGAACTTCCTTGATATGGCCTCAATTTACTTTTCTAACCCTATTTCCACTACCCACCTACATATATTTTATTCTCCAGCTAAATAAGGCTCTTTATTATGTCCTATACACAGCTCATGGTTTCCCCTGCTCCACCTTTGCTGAAACCATTCCTTGGACCTGAAATTACCTCCCTCAAATCTCTGCTAGTCAAAAGAAAATCTGGTTTTTTTTTTATGCCTACTTCAAAATCACCTCCTCTGTGAAATAGTTCCTGATGCCAACTAGGTAGCACATTGAATAGAGTATTGGACTTAGATCCAGAGAGATGTGAGTTCAAATCCTGGTTTAGACATGTGATACCTGTGTGAGTCTGGGCAAGTCACTAAAACTCTCTTATAGTTTCCTCATTTGTAAAATGGGGATAATACTAGCGAACCAAATAGGATTATTCTGAGAATCAAATGAGTTAACATATTTTAAGTAGTATGCAAACCCGACATAAATGCTAACTAGCTATCACTATTATTACAACCCTGGAAGAAAGCTATTTTCCACTCTTCTGAATTCTCATGATACTTTCTTTATACAACTCATAGCCTTAGGTACATATTGCCTTATATGATGGCAATGTGTCCATATCTTATTCCCCTTTCACTATATTCATGTAGGTATAGTAATAGCCCAAGCTCCATGAAGACAAGAGAATAGTTTTGACTTATTTCTGCATCTCCCAGTGTCTAGCAGAGCACCTTGTGCATAGAAAATTCTCAATAAATAGTTACTAAAAGAATGAACTGACCCTAAAACATCAATAAAGATGGCAGCCTACCTACCAGTCCCTTGGCAAAGACTGGTGGTGAGTGAGTGGATTAAGACATACAGAGCTTTTAAGGAAGAGAGAAAAGGAATGGCTTGATGAATGGGAGAAATTGGGCTAGAAGATCAAAAGAAGCAGCATTAGGGAGAAGAATTCAAGTTTATGTTGCAGTATGTTTTACTCACTTGGTTGATATTTGTTCCAGTTTGTATATTGCACTGGCTCATCCTTTTGCTCTGCTGTTTTCCAAGTGTATTCTCCTGTAACATTTTGGTCTTGAAGAGCTATCCAAAAATAACTGTCCTCTGTTTTTACCACACTACTGATCAAACTGGTAATAAAAGCCTGTTCAAACCTTAATAGGGGAAATGGGAAATGATTATATTAAGTTTCTCAGCAATAAAAAATGGCATTAAAACATAATGAGGTGCACAGAATGGTACCAGAGTAAGCAATTCTGGTGAAACACTTAAAATATAGAACAGGAAAAAAAATCTGAAAACCTCGAACATGACTAATAAATGCTAAAATGTCGGTCTGATTCCCAGAAATACATCAGAGAAAAAAAAATCTGGCCTTTACTTTTCCTGCTAGCATTATAATGATTCTAGCCAGGCCTCTCTTGGGGGAAGGTGAGGGCAGTGGTGGAGGTTACTGTGTCAGTGGCAGAAACCTTAAGTCATTGTGGTCCCTCCACAAGCCTGGGCCACACACAGAGCCACAGGGCCTGGGTTGAGAGTGGGGCAGGAAGGAGAAGGGGGGAGAGAGGAGGGGTATTATTCCCCCCTGAATAAACACATACTGGCAATTCCAGTGTGTTGACATTAAGCCACTTTCCTCATGCAGGGCACAGTGTAGTGTGTATAACTTTCTTTGCTTTTTTTTTTTAAATGCATATAGAGTTAATAGCCATTTACACAAAAGTATAGATAACCTTGGGAATTAATCCCAGCATGTTTCCCTATTAAAGCATTCATCAGTTAGCTGACTGCATGGTTTTTGGTTTTGAAATTGCTTCAGCTATGTTCTCTTCCCTAACACAGATTGAGAGTTGACTTCATCTAACATATATGTATGTGTGCTTCTGCCTAAATTTTAATAAATCCGTATGTATTTTGTGAATCCCGCACACTAAAATTCGGATTTTTACTGTTGTTTGTAGTGACAAGAATTCCATCAGTTCTACACATTGCATTTTCTCTTTGTTCTGGATCCAGACCTGTGATTTTATTATTTTAGGGAACTCCTGGTATGGAAACCCCTTCCACTGCTCCAGACTTACAACTCACTTGTGACCTACTGTCTTGGAGAGTTATTTGGAACACCGAGAGGTTAAGGGGCTTGCTCATGATCACATAGCTGCTTTGGGTCAGAAGTAGGTCTTCTTCACACTAAGGCTTTCCCTCCGTTCTCTCAGGTAGAAGTGACTAAATAGGAAACGTTGTCAAACTTGGACACTTAGTTATCAGGCCTATAGCTCAGTTTTACTTACAAATACACTCCAGATCAATGGGGATCCCCCTGACCAGAGCTGCACAGTCACTGAAAAGCTGAAGTTTTGTATAACTACCCAGCAAACCTCACAATACAACTCAATAAGGCATTTTTATCTTTTATCTTAAAAGCTGTGGCTTTGTAATCCTTGTCTGTCCCAGAGAAGCAATGTGACTGCTCACAAAATGAAGGTGATCTCAGAGATAGGGGGAAGGAAACAGGGCAAAATGGGGTTTCCTTAGGTTTTCCCCTAAATATTTTGGTAATACCAACTAATTAACAGCACTTCACGATCTCATGCACCAGTGGTTCTTCCTCTTGTAGAGGAAGCTGATTTTTATTTATGTTTGGTGAGTGTGTTCTGTAGCTGTTTTAGCTACTGAATCCTAAGAGATTATTTTTGATATGAGAAAATTATTTCTCTGAGTATTAGTGGTAGCACATTGGAAAAGCTGTTTCACAAGGATGTAAAACTTGACTGAATATATTGTGACTTATTGTGATCTCCCCTCATTTTCATCAGTTTCTTCTTTCAAAAGAGGAAAGCCCAGTGTCCACTTTCCTCTTTGAGACAGATTAGCATGATTGTCCCTGACTCGGTGACTGAACTGGGGAGTGAACCAAGACTGTACAGCTAGTCCATGGCATGGCTCAGAGTTCATAGGTTCATGACTCTAGAACTGGAAGAGACTGTAGAGCCCGTCTAGTACAATGCCTGCCCCCACCTTTTTTTTTTTTTACAAATGAAGAAACTGAGGCCCTAGAGAGTTAAGTAGCTTGCACAAGTTAATACCATACAGATAGTAAAAGGCAGAGCTGGGATTTGAACCCAGGTCCTTGACTCCAAGTTCAGAGGGAAAATTCAACATATTTTGCACTGCACCATGCTACCTTCCCAATGCCTAAATTAAAGGTCTACAATTTAAATGACATTATTTATGGATTAGAGGCAATGTGCACACAGACAGCTAATTTCAATTCCTTAAAATCTGAGTTCAAGCCTTGCCTCTGATAAAGCAGAGAGACCCTGTATGACCTACCCAAGACAACTCTGTGTGTGTGTGTGTGTGTGTCTGTCTGTCTGTCTGTCTGTCTGTCTGTCAATTGGGGTTAAGTGACTTGCCCAGAGTCACACAGCTAGTGAGTGTTATGTGTCTGAGGCTGGATTTGAACTCAGGTCCTCCTGACTCCAAGACTGGTGTTCTATCCACTGCGCCACCTAGCTGCCCCAAGATAACTCTTAAGACTATGAGTTGAACAGAAGGTGCTAACTTGCATTGGTAAAGGGAGCTTCCTTTTCCAGGAGTTTCCTATACCAATGAACTCACAGAACTAGTCCCTAATCCTTTACCAATTCCATTTCCTGGGTGGCAATCAAATTACTGGGAACTGTTTAAGCTATTGTAATAACAGTATCCATCAGCTATGGCAATATTGTTCATGATTTTTTTTAATCTCGTTTTACTTTTGTCCTCTTGTAACTGTTTCAGCTCTATTTATTATTATCCAGAAAAGACATAGAATTATTTTAGTGGAAGAGATATTAGAAATCATCTGTTCTAATTCTCATTCTACAGATGAGGAGACTGAGGTTCAGAAAAGAGAAATGACTTGTCATAAGATCACAGACTTTAGGGGTTGTCTAGTACCCTTTCTTATAGATGAAGAAAATGAGAGATTAAGTGACTTGCACAAGATCACACAACTAGTAAGTGACAGAGCTGGGGTTCAAAACCTTTGTCCAAATCCTGAACATACTGCCTCATCCTTACCAAGTCTACCCAACGAGTTAAGGTCTCAGCTGGAACTCAGGTTTCCAGATTCCTAGTCCAGCACTTTTTCTTCTACATAAGCCTTTGGCTTTTTGAACAAGCAATGACCCATTTTATATCAGAAATAATGGAGTAAACCATAAATTAAATCCTAGAGCATTCAAATCAAACTAGACCTCTAGCTTTCTTACTACAGATTCAAAAAGATGGCCTTATTCATGAAAGAAAATGGAGTAAATATGTCTCTTCTAAATATATCTTCTAAGAAAATTAGCTCTACATATTCTAATTGATGAAGTAAAAAAGGAATGAATATTTTGTCATATTCCTCTCTATACCTGCTATTGAATAATGACCATTAAGAAGTTATGAAAACTTTGATATAAGGAAACAAATTATAACCTTAAAAGAGATTCTAAGCTTCTATAATTATTCATATGAGGATATCCCCAAGATTTGATAGAGCTGCTCATTTTGTTTTACTCCATTCAAAGTGTTGTCTGAAATGTTTTGTCAAGCCTTAAGGATAAAAAATTACCACCTGTACCTTCTTTGTTGCTACATATACTATTATTTTGAACTACATCTTTTTTTTCTCCAAGGAGTACAATAAGATGATAGTTTTTCATTTTATCTATAAAATCTAAGGGATGAAAATTTGGTACTCGTTTACTTACAAAGGCAATTTTTCTTGGGAAGGCATTCTGGGGCTCAATCAGGGAAGAATGCATTGTTCCAATCAACTCTAAGGTCAGAAAATGAGGTCTCCTTTTCAGGGAAGATATTCGAGGAAAATGCACTTTAGAGTTGTCATCAATTTGAAATTTAAAGTTGTTGCCTAGAGTGACTTATTTTCAAACTGCTCATGAAAAAAGAATTCTGAAGGCATTGATATCTCTTGAAAAGACCCGCATCTTATTCCATTTTTCAAAAAGAACTTTCTGTGCTTTCTATACTCCAGCATCATGTAAAGAAGCACCTTATTACTTGCATTATCGACTGCAATTTCCAAAATAAACCAAAGTATTTCTGATCCACGGAATAAATGCTGCTCAACTACCTTGTGGTGAAATAATATTTTTTCTTCTACAAACTAAAAAGACACTAGTATGGCAAGAAGAAGTTAAACATATTAAAGGAACTCTCCCCAGTCAATCAATCATCAAACATAACACACATAGTGTACCAGGCACTGGGCTAGACAATTGCCGGAGAATCAATTTGTTATTGTAATTATTTCTCTTTATGTCCTTTATGTGTGAAGATAAAACTGATCCACAATCAGTAGTATGTGATCTCTGAGCTGAGCAACTTCTTTTGGACTTCTCAAATCAAATAGCAAGCTGGTACCTATTTTTGAGGCACTTTTATTACTCAACCCCTACATAAAAGAATCCTGTCCCATTTCTACTCTCTATTGGACAAACAGGGGAGGTTGCTTTTCTTTTTCATTTTCAAGGAGATCCAAAAATAATTTCTTCTTATTCCCCCAATCCATCAATCTTATTCTGCTTTCTTCCATCCTTACCAAGTTGTGACCCCAGGTCATCGTTTCAATAATTCCTTCTCCTCTGCCTTGGAATCCTCACTTCTGCTGTCTCCCACTGTTCCTTCTCTGCTAATTCTCAACTTGCTAAATTACAAAATGGTGCCATCTGGATTCAATAGAAATGTGTGTGTTTAACCTGCCCTGGACTCACACTATTGATTAGCAATCCTTTTATTCATCTCTAATTAACTATCATATCCCCACATTGGCTTTTCTTAATACTCTTCCTTCTCCTCCAGCTTCCAACTCCATTCTTTATCACCTTAACCCTCAGAAATTCTTCTTTCCCTTACGTTACTGTGAGGACTGAGACCATGCAACATTAAATTGTTCGATTTGTCTCCTCTACTCCTTAATTCATCCTTTTCTGCTTTAGCTTTAGAGGAAGAAGTGATCCTGGTGCTTACCAAGGCTAACCCTTAACCTGTATCATAGATTCCTATATCTCATTTTCTTTATGATCTTTTTCTGTTAATCATCTCTTTCCACTAACGCACTTCCTCCCCTTCAATCTACAGGTATATTCAAGTCTCCTTCTCC